TAGGCCTAGGCCCTAGCCCTGGCACAAAGGTATTCAAGCTTTGGGTGCCCCGGTGGGTTGAGCCAAGGGACTTGGGCCTAGACTTGGGCTTGGGTCGGGCTTGGGTGAGCCTCGCCATTTTTTTTAATTCTTTTTAATTTTTTCTCCCAAAATTTTATTATTTTCCAGAAAAAAGACACCGGGCCTCGGGTGGGCCGGGCCTTGAGCCGAGCCTTAAATGGGCCTTATATGGGGCGAGCTTCAAAGTGATAGCCCAGGTCCTAGCCCAAGTTCTTGGGTTGGGCTCGGGCCCGGACCCAAACGAGCTTGCCCCAGGCCGCGGGAGGGCTACTAGTGGCCCACGGGCCGCGGGCCAATTTTACACTCCTATCAATGTGAATATTCACATTGTCAACAAGTCGAACCCGCTCCGGGCCGCAGGCCAATTTTACACTCCTATCAATGTTAATGTTAATATGTCAATGTGAATATTCACATTGTAAACGGGCTGGGCTCGCATGCGGGTTTCGGGCCGTCTACGGGTCGCGGGTCAATTTTACACTCCTATCAACGTGAATGTTAATATGTTAATGTGAATATTCACATTGTCAATGGGCCGAGCCGGGCCCGCCCCGGGCAGCCCACGGGCCGCGGGCCAATTTTACACTTCTATCAATGTGAATGTTAACATGTCAATGTGAATATTCACATTTAGGGCTGAGCAAGGAATCCGTGAAATCCGTAATCCGATCCAGTCCAGTCCAATCTGATAGGTTTGGATTGGTTTTTTGAATCCGTGGTTCGGTTCCGGATTGAATAATTAAAAATCCGTAGTTCACGGATTGGTTCCGGATTGAATCTCACGGTTCCGGATTGGAACCGATCCGGACCGTATACAAATAGTCTATATTTTTATTATACATCCTCCCCCATAGTATCTTTTCTTATTCTATGTAAAATCTAAACTCAAACCTAAAACCGTATAATATCTTCTTTTATTACTTTTGTTTGTTAGTTTTAAGTTTTAATTTGCAATGGTCTAAATACTTATGGTGAAACCAGTTTTCTTATGGTTGTTTAAATTCTAAAACAGTATGTCGTTATTATAGAAAAACATGTTGCTATTATGGAACTAATATAGCGCTATGTTTATATTTTTATGAAATTCAAGTGTTAATATATATTTTTGTTATTTAATTATGTGAATCCGTGGTCCTAAACCGATCCAATCCTTATTTAAATGGATTGGTTCGGATTGGTCCTATGATTTAAACGGATTGGATTGGTTCCAATTTTTTAAGAACCGTAAATAACGGATTGGTCCTGATTTTACCCCAATCCGATTCAATCCGGACCATGCTCACCCCTAATAACTTTGGCTTTGGTGCAAGATGGATTAGGTGGGTGAAAACTTGTATTACAACAGCTAAGGCCAATTTTACATTCTTACCAATGTGAATGTTAAAATATGAATATTTACAACCCACCCGCCCCGGGCAACGGGCGGGTTTCGGGCCGCCCACGGGCCGCGGACCAATTTTACACTCCTATCAATGTGAATGTTAACATGTCAATATGAATATTCACATTGTACACGGGCCGGGTCGGGCCCGCGGACGGGTTTTGGGCCGCCCACGGGCCGCAGGCCAATTTTACACTCCTATCAATGTGAATGTTAACATGTCAATGTAAATATTCACATTGTAAATGGGCCGGGCCGAGCTTGCGGGTGGGTTTCAGGCCGCTTACGGGCCGCGGGTCAATTTTACACTCCTATCAACGTGAATGTTAATATGTTAATGTGAATATTCACATTGGGGTTGGGCCGGGCCGGGCCGGGCCCGGGCAACCCACGGGCTGCGGGCGGGTTTCGGGCCGCCCACGGGCCATGGGCCAATTTTATACTTCTATCAATGTGAATGTTAACATGTCAATGTGAATATTCACATTGTCAACGGATCAGGCCGGGCCAATTTTACATTCCTATCAATGTGAATATTCATATTGGCGAGTTTCGGGCCGCCTACGGGCCGCGGGTCAAGTTTACACTCTTATTAACGTGAATGTTAATATGTTAATGTGAATATTCACATTGTTAATGAGCTGGGCCGGCCCCGCCCCGGGCAGCCCACGCCCCACGGGCAGGTTTCGGGCAGCCCACAGGCCGCGGGCCAATTTTACACTTCTATCAATGTGAATGTTAACATGTCAGTGTGAATATTCACATTGTCAATAGACTGGGCCCGCCCCGGCCCGGGGGCGATCTTCGGACCACCCATGGGTCACGGGCCAATTTTATATTCTTACCAATGTGAATGTTAAAATATAAATATTTACATCATAAAATTGACCGTTCAAAAAATATTTGTAAGGGTATCAAAATTAAATATTAGAGCATAACAGTCTAAAAAAGAGTGTAAATCAAGAAAAAGAACTTTATGGAATAAAACTATACATACATGGGACTAAATAGATTAATAAATTTTTTCATAGCCTTTTTAAATTAAAACATTTCTAAATGAAATTTATCAATAAAAATCCCTTTATATATTTATATTCGGTTATTCCCTTTATATTCAGTTTTCACCTTGTTTTTTTATAAACTGCATAAGTGCACTACTATTATTATAGTCGTATTGCCTGTGTTTTAATGATGTGTTTAGATCATATGTTTGGAGAGGAGTTTGACCATAATAAAATAAAATAAAATAAAAAAAGAAGAAGAAAAAATTTAGAAAAATATAAATGAAATATAAATTATATTTTTTTCTTTATTTTTCTTTTACTTTCCAACTTCTTGATATATAAATACAGCCTAACACACATGTTGAGAAAATTTTAAAAAATTGTATATTCTTTATTACCCTTACTTTCATGCAATGTAAGATTCTTTTAAATTTCTTCACAAACAAATTCTTTAAACCAAATTTTATTAAAGAAGTTTGATTTCCTTGGCATTACAGTGATTTTTGGACTCAATTCTTGGTATATTGAATTCATGGTTTTATTATAAGCAAAATTTAAATTTAGGGTAATTTTATTTATTTATTTATTGTTTACATTTAGGGTTGGTTTGGGATGTTCTAAAAAAGTGCATTTTTTGACTTATTAGCTTATATGGGTTGGGTTTGGGTTGAATTTGATGTGATATTTTAGAGAGGTGAGGTGATTTAAATAAGATAATGTGACTTAAATAAGATAGTGACTTTTTGACTTTTTGTATTATTTAGTTTATGCCAAACCAACCCTTAGTGTGCGTAGGAGGATCATTACTATGGCAAATATTAACAAGTATTCTGAGACATTATTTAATATTAGTACTTGTATAAAAAAATATTTTGAAAATGGCAAAAAAATTAAAAATAATAAAAGTATTTAAAATTAGTAAAAAAATGTTTGTGTTTCTTATTTATTTAGTTATTTATTTATTTTTGTGTCTTTTTTGATATTCTAAAGATACTACTAATAAGACCTATACATGATGCTTAACTATGACAAAATCAACTACAATTCGACTTTATCAATTTTTTATTTAGGAAAAAAGATCAACAAACTTTTTTATTTGGGAAACAAATCGACAAACTTTAAGTAAAAGGAATGAGTGTTAATGAAGGGTTGTGGAGATAATCATGTGCTAGACTCCAAAGGTGAAAAAAATTAAAATAAAGCCATAATTAATCTTTTAATAAGTCAGCTTTGAAACGTACAATCTTGTTTAATCATTATGACTTTTTCATATTTAATCGAGCCACGATATGTACATATCTGCACTGCCTTTAATGAAGATTTATTAAATAAAGGTTAGTGATAATGTATATTAACATTAAGTAATTAATTAATTCATTATATGTCTTTGTGTTAAGGGCTCGATGTACATATTTGTATAGTGATGCGTGAGATTGTCAGTAGTGTACTAATCCTAAATTATGGGAGACTTATTTAACAACGTACACGCAAACCCTTGAAACTATTTGACTTGCAAGGAATTTTTGAAAGGTCAAAATGAGCTCAATAAGCTTAACCATAATTTTGAAAGTTGAAGTGTGTTGTATTACAGCTAGCTAGTGTGCTAATGAAAGATGCTTATAAAGTTTTAAAAAGGACTTCTTGATGAAGGCATGTGAGATAAAAACAATAATTGGGTTATAAAAAGAAGGAAAACCCAACTAAAATTTGAGAATCGAATCATATCAAAACCCAACTGCATTTTGTGTTTTTGTTTTTTTGGTTAATTTGATTCTAAAGATTTTAGAATTCAGTTTGATACCTAAGTTTTTGAAACCATTGTAAGTGGTTTGATTCTAAATTCACCGTAAACCAAACTAAACAAGTGTTTTCGGACAATAAAATTCCATTTCATTCCAAGGCCAGAGTAAACTAAAAAAATAAAAAATAAAAAAATTACCATGTAATAGTACCTAAAGTGGTTAGATCTAATGTTTCTATTGAAATAACTAGGTCTAGGTGTGCCATAAAAAGGGTTAGCAAACACAAGTCCATGGATGTGTTCAAAAAAAAAAAAAAAAAAACACAAGTCCATTTGATTGAGTCACAACTATTTTAATGCTACATCTGTTTGATGATTGCCTGGTCGAAACCCATTTATTGACTAATCAGAAGACATTCAAAGGTTGGAGTTGGTAGGCTGTCCTTAACTGGATTTTCATTTGAGGTTGGTGAAAGGAATCATCAACCTATTATTGGGTCTTGCCATCAACAACATTTGCTCTACCTTCCTTTGTAAATAATTTAGTATTATAATGCTATGTGTATATATATATGACAAGAGGTTAGTGAGAGAGAGAGAGAGAGAGAGAGAGAGAGAGGAAGACTTGGATGAGGGTTTTGAGATTCTTTGTCATCTAACAATTGGCAATTGGGCTGAGCTTTCGCTATACTACTAGCAGTAACGAGTTTCAAAAAGAAAAGTAGAGCCCTGTCCTTATATATTCCTCTTCACTCTAGTATTTTTCTAGTCTCACTTTTGTTGCCTAGCACTTGCTTGTGCTTATGTCCTACTGAGAAAATAAAAGAAAAGAAAAGAAGAGAAGTGAAAAAACTAACAAGTTGTAGCAACAATGGTGGCCAAGAAGCCAAGGATTGTGATTATTGGGGCTGGAATGGCTGGTCTCACAGCTGCCAACAAGCTCTACACATCACAGGGCTCAAACGAATCGTTCGAGCTCTGTGTAGTAGAAGGTGGGACTCGAATTGGTGGAAGGATCAACACTTCTGAGTTTGGTGGTGATAGGATTGAGATGGGTGCTACGTGGATTCATGGCATTAAAGGTAGCCCAATTCACAAAATTGCTCAAGAAATCCATTCACTTGACTCTGATCAGCCTTGGGAGTGTATGGATGGGTTTTTGGATGATCCAGTCACTATTGCTGAAGGCGGGCATGAGCTCAATCCATCACTTGTCGATTCAATAACTAGTTTTTTCAACAAACTAATGGATTTTGCTCAAGGAAAGGTGAGTGAAGAAAGATTGAGCAATGAAGAGATTGAGTATTGTAAGTTTATAGCAGCAAAAGGTTTCAATGGAAAGCTCAGTGTTGGTTCTTTTCTTCGACAAGGGCTTGAAGCTTATTGGGATTCAATGAAAGGCCGAGAGGAGCTCAAAGGATATGGTGGTTGGAGTCGAAATTCGCTTGAAGAAGCCATTTTTGCAGTTCATGAGAACACTCAAAGGACTTATACGGCAGCTGGTGATTTGATGACACTTGATTACAATGCAGAAAGTGAGTATATTATGTTTCCTGGTGAAGAGGTAACCATTGCTAGAGGTTATATGAGCATAATTGAGTCCATAGCTTCTGTTTTGCCTGCTGGTTCAATCCAATTAGGCAAAAAGGTCACAAAAATTGAATGGCAGCCCAATAATCATCGATTGTTAGAGAACGAAAATGGGCACGAAACTAGGCCTGTGAAGCTACATTTTTGTGATGGATCGGTCATGTTGGCCGATCATGTGATTGTCACGGTCTCATTAGGAGTACTCAAAGCTGGAACCAGTGAAAATTCAGGTATGTTTGATCCTCCACTTCCAAGTTTTAAGACCAAGGCAATATCAAGACTTGGGTATGGTGTTGTTAACAAGTTGTTTTTGGAATTGAGTCCAACCCATGATAGATTTGGCATTTCCAACGAATTCCCATTTTTGCAAATGGCTTTTCATCGATCAGACTCCGAATTCAAGCGCCGGGAAATTCCTTGGTGGATGAGAAAGACTGCTGCTCTATCTCCAATCTATGGCAAGTCAAGTGTTCTTTTATCTTGGTTTGCCGGCAAAGAAGCTCTTGAGCTTGAGTCTCTCGATGATGAAGAGATTCTTGATGGGGTTTCAACAACAATCTCTAGCTTTTTATCAAACTCAGTGTCACATCCTAATAATTCTCATGAATTGTGCAATGGGAATGTCAATTCTGTGGAGAGCACTAATGGGAGAGAATTGAAATTCAGTAAGGTTTTAAGGAGCAAATGGGGCACGGATCCACTGTTCTTGGGGTCATATAGCTACATTGCCGTGGGATCGAGCGGTGATGATTTGGACGCCATGGCTATGCCATTGCCCAAAAATGGAAATTATGAGGCTAATGCCTCTCCTCCACTCCAAATTCTGTTTGCAGGTGAAGCAACACATAGAACCCATTATTCAACTACTCATGGAGCCTATTTCAGTGGCCTTAGAGAAGCCAATAGGCTTCTTCAACATTATCATTGCAATGGGGTATGAGAGTTCTTGATGCACTACTAAGCTAGAACAGTAAGCACTTTTTCTTGTTTTTTTTGATTTTTTGTTTTTGGGAAACACTTCTCTCCCTCTTAATCACTTTCTGATTGATATTCATCTGGAAAATCTTTTATTTCTCTCTCTGCAATATGGTTGGAATGAGATGAGACGGTGGAAATTAAAGAGAGGGAATGAAAGGGAGATGGGTACAATTTTTAGATGTACGGATGAATGAGTTAACGAAGCTTCTTTTCAAATTTTCTATATTTTAGTTTTGGGGCTGCTTTACTGTTTGATGATGTTCTTGATCTTCAAAGCAAAAGTTAAAGATTGTGTTTGGCATTGAATATATTTGTAAGAATAAAGCAGAGAGTAGAGTTAAAAGCAAGCTTTGGATCTCATCATGTTTGGTCCATCTCAAGAATTTCTTTTGGTTTGCACACTGGACAGGATCCGGTAAAATCGGCTCTTTCCAGCTTGCAATTTTTTCTTGTATTATTGTTTCTTTTTCTTGTCCAAATCCAAACACACCCTTATCACTCTGAGGAGAATTTGTGAGGCCCATTTTGTTTTAGGTATTTTGGACCAACACATGAGCTGGCTGCTAAACTACTTGTTACTCATCACATGAAATAAAATCGTGGCACATCTGATAGGGTCCCAGGTATTATGTATAGTACATCTCTTCTCCTCTGCTGCATCAAAATCAAAATCAAAATGCAGTCCAGACCAAGTGGCCAAGTAGAGTTGTTTCCAAAATGTCCTTTGATTGTGGGACACAAGTAGAGTTGCTCATGGCCATCTGAATGGTTTGATGTTTAGTGCAGATGGTCTCCTAGGTGGGGGCCCTATTGGTCTGAGAGGTCCCATTCCATGCATATGCAGCCATCTACTGAGGCAGTTAGCTCTTTGTTGACACACCCCATTGGTCCAACTACGGTTACAAAAATGGTGGTTTTAGGTACCATGCAACATTATATGGTAAGAGGAGATAATTTGAGTGTTACGGACTATCAATTTTAGGAGCAAGTAGATGATTACATTGGCACTATTCGATGTAGCTTATCTGAATTACTTACAGTTTTTTTATTTTTTTATTTTTTTTTATTTTAAGTCTGTGTTAGACAACTTCTGTTTATAACTCATTAGATAGAAATAACTTAGCCTCTGTTTGGGAAGAAAAAGCCCAGGCTTTTTTGGCTAAAATAGCCACAAAAAACAAAATAGGCTATTTTAGCCACAAAAAATAAAATATCAAATCCAACCCATAATCATTACAATCCTCTCTCACAAAAAAAGTCAAAAAAGTCAAAAAGTCAAAAAGCCCTTCCCAAACCAGGCTAAAATAGTCAAAAAACCAAAAAGTCAAAAAGCCAACCCACTTCCCAAACGGAGGCTTAATAAGCTAAAAAAAAATGATTTTTAAAAGTTAGGGTGCTTTTAGTTTTTATTTTTAAATTATTAACTTATAATAAACCGTACCAAAAAACACCATTGTATGATAATCATGATTAGTTTTATTTGTAAGTAGAGTCACATTGAGTTCGTTTATTTGTCAAATTAGGTTGAATGGAATTATTAGTACAATGAAATTAAGAAAAAGGATTATTAGTATGTTGATATTAAATTAGAGATGTAAGATAAATAATGTTCGTTTATGTACTAATATGATAGTATTAGTTGGTGGCGATTGAATTTGTAAAATTACTTAAAAATCTTCATTATGTAAAAGATGACTTTATTATTTTTGTAAAATGAGAGGGAAAGTCTTTTCAGTACCAATTTCATAGGATTAGATTAGCAAACTCAAATCTCTAATGAGATTGCTAATCTCATTGAAGGGATTTCATGATCTCATGAAACTCTTAATCCCACAATAATTTTTTCTAACGAACATGATTTTTATATGTCCAATCTTACTACTAATTCAATCCCACCATCTCTGACAACAAAATGAGACTATTGTGTGATAAGTAAAATCAATTCCAATGACCAGTAAAATTACAGAAATCACTTTTTAGAAAGTAAAAAATGATTTTAATCATTACCCATCAACAGCTGAATGTTTTTGTCATCCAAATACTATTAGAAATGAATTTTAAATAGGGTATCCAATTTTTATTTATTTATTTATTGGTGGTAAAAGAAAAATTCTTAAATTAACCAAGGTATATTTGTGAAAAATTCCTTACCAAAAGATTGTGAAAGATTAGTCGGATTTTGATCTAAACACCTAAATATCAATCAAAAAATAAATAAATCCTGTCACTAGACAACTATCAGTGCCCTACACATTTGAAAACAGCATATCAATCAAGTAGTGGTAAAAAAATTACGGGCATGTTTGGTTTGTTTTTGGGAAAATTTTTTGGGAAAAATTATTTACAAACAAATTTTTAAGAGTGATCAAATCAAACAAATTTTTCTAAAGAAAATCTCAAAATTTTGTTTGGTTTGCTTCTTTCCAAAATCACTCTCTCTCTCATACAGATCAAATCAATCACTTTTTTTAAAACTCTCTTCCCAAAATAATTTTCTAAAACTATTTCTGAAAAAAGGCAAATCAAACAAATTTTCGTACTTTTTTTCTCAAAAATAACTCTACAAACACAAACCAAACAATTTTATGATGATTTTCTTTTTATGCATGGTGCAAATCGATTCTTGTATTTAGTGTAACTCTGCATCAAAATTGTACTAAAAAAATTTTCTTTTGTAATGTAATAATTTTGTGTTTATCTCACCTACTTTGTAATTTACAAACATTCGGTAGGAGAGAAAGAATTTGAAAGGAGGGGATCGGTACATGAATGGTTGAGACAGGACATGACTGTCCATAAGCCATATGCAGCCAATGTCACCATAAATATCTTAGCTCTTTTTTTGTGTCTAATGGTAAAGACAGGACATGACTGTCCATAAGCCATATGCAGCAAATACAGCATAAATATCTTAGCTCTGTTTTTTAGAATTTGGGGAACTGCTGTGAAGGATGGACACGGTTGTGTAATTAAATAGATTTTTTTTTGGAGTTCATTTTAATAATTTGAACCATTCATATTTAAAATATATTAAATAGAATACATTTGTAAAATATCAAGTTAATCGGATATCATTACCTTATTCATCCACTCACATTTGCATCTACAAAAAATAAATAATAATTATGATTTAAAGTATTAAAATGAATACAAATGTGAGTGGATGAAATAGTAAACGATATGTGATTAACTTGATTTTTTACAAGTATATTCTACTTGATATATTTTAAAAATGAACAGTTTAAATTATCAAATTATACTCTGAAATAGACCCATTTAACTGACTGTTGTACATTCCGTACAACAATCACCCAATTTTTTTTTGGTTTTTTGTTTTATTGTGTCTACTCTATCATCAAACTATCCATCCCACCCCCATACGTTTCGGATATTTCCCAAATTTTCCAAACCCATTGGTCCATTTGCTCAATTGCATATCAGCAAAGACGCATAATTCATCACAACTTTGGGTTGATTTGGAAAGTGAGTTGATTTTTTAGTTTTTTGATTTTTTTGGCTATTTTAGCCTGTGTTAAAAAGTTTGATTTGGGAAAGATTTTTTGACTTTTTTGACTTTTTTTGTGAGAGAAGAGTGTAATGATTTTGAGTTAGATGTGATGTTTTGTTTTTTGTGGCTAAAATAGCATATTTTGTCTTTGTGGCTAAAATAGCCAAAAAAGCCCAATCTAACTCTTCCCAAACAGAGCCTTCGTGTGTTTATTTTGAGTAATTCTATAAGGATTTCTCAGCAAATTTTCATATGATGGATTTAACCTCTGCAATTATGGTCTTAGGGTTTATCATGTGTTTTACTTTAGTAATTTAAATAATTCTGTTGGCTTTTTGGCTTTCGAAAGTTATTATTATAATTGCGAGCGTGCCAGCAAAGATCAATTAGTCTTTACAGAAAATTAATTGCCAACAAATTATCAGACGACTGTGTTTTAATTCTTTCAGTCTCAATGAAGAGGACTTTTACCGGTGGCTTGACTTTGGAGAATTAAACAGATAACAATGAATTGAAGAACAGTCGAAGTATTTCATTAAGATGAAAAGACTTACAATGATCCAAACTCAACCTCGTAGAGGTTTACAGCAACTCGACTTGGAACTACTCCTATGAAATGAAGTGCAGTGCAGGAATTTTAAAGTACAGTAATGTAAAGAACTGTAAATGTAAACAACTGTAAATGTAAAGCTGGAAAGGAAAATAAGTAATAAAGACTGGTTTGTTGGATCTGAGTCTGGAGCTTTTTCTGGGGCCTTCTCTACTATTTATATTGCTCCAGGATGACCATCGAATTACATTTCCAACCGTCAAACTGCTCCTCCATGATTATCGATCATTTTGCCCCAATATTAGCTCCACTACGCCATCACTTGTAATTAAGCTTCCCTCCTAAATTTGAATCTGAAATGCGAGTAACCGTTGAGGCCACGTCACTTTGTATCTCTTTGTTGATCTGCTGCTACTTAGATTTCTTAATAACCAATACTAACTGCCACGTGTACGATCAGGATCGAGGACCTGAATAGTCTTCCTATATTACCCTTATTTCGCCATGCGTCGAATTGTAACTGGTTTGTACAAAATATGTAGCCAAAATTACCCCCCGCACTAATATACCCAATACTTGATGATATTAGTGGATTAGGGTCTTTTTCCCATGTCATAGAATGTGCATGGGTTTTACATCTTCCTAGAAATGCAACTGTCACTTACTATCTGTATTAAACTCTCGTTTAATCCTTTGAACACTCCCACCATCTTAGCATTCGAACAGACTAATACATTTCATGGCCGAATTAATTTTTTCCTCCAACAATCAAGCACACAAAGAGTCATATGTCGATGTTATTCCTCCTCAAAAGAACGTCCATGCATTAATTAGCTACCTTTACCCACCTTTCTATATTCAGGTCATGGATGCCTTTGCAAATTATCAACCGTTGGACTTCGAACATATTGCCCTTAATCCTTCGATTCAGAAACTCACAAATATGGACATGGGAGGTTCGTTTTCTGTCTCACCTTTGGACTACGAACAAACTGCTCTCAACCCTTTAATTCAGAAAGTTGCAAATATGGACATGGAAAATTCTTCTTCACAATCCCCTGCATGGGACAAGGCTGCGACTTCTTCCTCTTCTGGTGCTTCTGACTGGACAAGTTGGTCAAAACCTGAGGCTTGTGATTTGAGGGAACGAATTAACCATCATTTTGTTGAAT